GTTCTAGGCCAAATGTCATTTTGGAGGGCTCCAACATGCTGCATGAGCTTTTCTTTCTTTCTAAAGCACCATGTCTGTCAATCATCCTGTCATTCAAAATTAAGATAATGCTGTCAACTGGAGAACACAGAACAATGGTGATAAGTTTTTGTTTTTAAACACAAGACAGATCATGTTGGATTTCTCCCTAGGGAAGCAATTTTCCTCATTTAACAACCATTTTAGCCTTGCAGCTAGACATCCCAACTTATCAGTTAATGAATATTGTTCACAAATTATTCACTCTTCATCCTTCTCATACCTACCAGGGCAATAAGTAGAACACAACGTGGGCAATTATCAGCAATTCTGGAAAGGGTGGGGCCACTGCTCCAGTTTATCTTTATAGACTTTTATGGATGGTTTTGTTGTTTTTAATGACTATCCAGATTCCTTAAGAGGCTACCTATAGACACTCAGTTTAAGTGTTGTAATTACTGTTTTGACGAAATATAACATGTGGAAACATTATTGATCATTCTGTCAACTCAACTTTGACTTGAAATTAATTACATCCACTAGTGAAACCATTTATCAAGCATTCCTCACATTATAAGACAAGTATTTTAGTTCCTGAAACAAAGTCTGAAGTAAATCCTACTTTCCTACTAATTTCCATTATAAAATTAGAGAAATGTTACCAAAACAGGGTTCTCAAATAGACTGAGTTAAAAACCATGAATGGAAAAGACAGTAAGATGGTAGCCAGTCCTATGGCAGTTCATTTGTTTCCTGATCATCTGAAAATTAGGTGGCTATTACCACCATTCACATTCCTCATCCTCATGACTACAGGGATGTCTCTCTTGTTAGTGAAGTTACCTACCTCTAGACTTTGGGACTTGTAGACTTTGCCCTCTTCCTGCTTTGATGTGGGCATTTTCATCCCTTTAATTAGGAATTCCATTGCAGTAACACACTTCGCCAGTGGGAGTCAACTCTCAAACTGTACTTCCGCCAGAAAAGCCCTACGTTAGAAGCTTCTGCTTATGTAAAACATAATTATCTGTCTTCGACTTTAAAATTCTCTTAAAATTCTGTAATAATCTCCTTGTTTTCCCCTGTGGCATAAACATATACAAGACTTTGCATTTAAGGTTAAAATTAGATATTTACGGTGAATAGGATTTTCGTTTTTGGAGGAAAAGTTGTACCTATTTGACAGTGTGAAATTTCTCAAAGTGAAGCATATACTTGCATAAAATAGATTGACTTCTCAAAAAGAAAATTTGCAATATACATAAATAACTTACATACAAAGATAAGCCATAAACAAAGACTTCCCTATAACCTTCTTCTTTTTTTGGTCTTTTTCCGTGTCCGGCAATGGATCGCAACCCTCAGTGTCGCCCCCGTACCGGACCGGGACCGGCAACGGGATCGCAACCCTCAGTGTTGCTCCCGCGCCTCGCTCAGCCAGTGAGCGGGAACCGGTCTGTATGTGGGATCCGAACCCTTGGGCGGGAGCGCCGCCGTGCTTCCCAAGCGGCACACTATCCAGTGCGCCACCGGGCCGGCCCCCTATAATCTTCTTTTAAATAGTGACTGTATATTCAATATGATCTCAGTTCCATAACCAAATATGTAGATTTATTGATACAGAGACACAGATAAAGAATGGAAAGAAATATTCCAAAATGTTAACAGCAGTTAGCTCAGAGTGATGTGATTCTGAATGACTTACATTTCTTTCTTATACTTTTTTTAATTTTTAAAATGTTCTTTAATAAAATTACTATCATGGAAAGTCAGTGTGTATGCACAAAATTTATTTTCCATTTTTTCATTGTGGTAAAATACACATAAAATTTACTGTTTTAACAATTTTAAAGTGTACAATTCAGTGGCATTAAATATATTCATAATGGTGTGCAACCACCACCACTATCTAGTTCCAGAATTTTTTCATTACTCCAAATGGAAACCTTGTACCCATTAAGCAGTCACTTCCCATACACCCCTCCCCCAAACCCCTGCCAACCACTAATCTGCTTAATATCTCTATGGATTTGCTTATTCTGGGTATTTCGTATAAATGGAATTACACAGTATATGGCCTTTCATATCTGGCTTCTTTCACTTAGCATAGTGTTTTTAAGGTTCATTCACACTGTAGCATTGATCAGGACTTCATTTCTTTTTATGGCTGAATAATATTCAATTGTATGGATATACCATATTGTTTGTCCATTCATCTGATAAACATTTGGGTTGTTTCCACCTTTTGGCTATCACTGCTATAAATATTCATGTACAAGTTTTTGTTTTAATACCTGTTTTCAACTCTTTTGTGTATATACCCTGGAGTGGAATTGTATCAATACATAATTCTTCAAAAATGCCTTTAATTCTACTTTAGCCTGCTATGTTTAAAGTAGCAATGCTTTTCCAGAATTATTAAGGATAAACCTTAGAATATCATTCCAACAATAATACCATTCCATTTTCAATCACTGACTGTGATACATTTTTTAAGACCAAATCACATTCTTGTACTCAAAAATGTAATTTCACCCTTACTCTTTGGGAATGAGTTTCTCTTATGCCAAATACTTGAAACAGTGATGAACTAATTGAAAAGGACAGTCTTTTCCACTTGTCATATCATAGTCATTCTAGCAGTACCTAGTTCACTTTCAAATGCTTACATATTAAAAGTACAAAAATATATATGTGCATATTTTTTGCTTAAACAGGAATGCATCACTTAATAGACACCAATATTTAAGCCCTAAGGAATATATTAAATACACAATGCCAAGTAGAAGCAATCTAGAATCTTCTAGAAATCCAAACTGGCAGATGGATATCCCAAAGAGGATAAATATGCCCTGAAAGAATCCACAGTACTAGTTCTTAAGTGCTTTACTTCCCATCCTTCTAACAGAAAGCTGATACATCTCATGAACATAAAACCCCAACAATATCAAGGTTAATTTTAGCTACAGACAATGCTTGAAGTGGGCTAAAGACAACAGGGATATACTCTGTGCTTACCCATACCTATTTAACAGCTGTAAGATTCTCCCATGTTTCCCTCCCCACAAAAACATGCACCCACATGTTTATGCAATATGCATTTCTCTCTCTCTCTCTCTCTCTCTCTCTCTCTCTCTCTCTCTCTCTCTCACACACACACACACACACACACACACACACACACAATGCCAGAACTGTACTTCCAACTCAGTGGCTTCAAATAAGGGTAGAAGTGTTTCTGCAGCTCGCTCATCCCTTAGATCTCAGGCTTTTCCCCTTATCGTCACTCCCACTCCCACCACTACACAGATAGCATCCTGCAATCCAGAAAGCAGATATAAAATTCTGGCTACAGAAGAAGAAAAAGCAGCCTTAAAACAGTAAAAGAAACATCCAAACTGTAATATATTTTTAATAAGTAGGAGGCATAATTTGGAATCATTTAAAAATAAAGTACTTAAAGTTCCATAATATTGGTAGATGTCTCTTTAAAAAAAATCAAATAGGAACAACAAACTTGTAGGAAACAATAAAGTAAGATATTTTAATTCTAAAAAGGTTTTACATATCCCAACTTTGCTAGGATCATCACTATCAATTTATTTTATTTCTTCCTTTACAAAAATTCTAAAATGCTTTCATATTCTGATAATGCTTCAAAAAACCTTACCACAAAACCCAGAAGGAACTCTTTCATCCTACTCTCTGCAGAAGTTTTTAAATAGCTCTCGCATAACAACAATAATTTATATCATAGAGATTTTTTCAAATGAAGATTAAGAATTTTCTAATTGTCTTATTGTGTATATGGAAAAACAATCTCAGTGGAGTAAATTGTTCACAGTCTCGCAAGGAATCAGGGCAAAACCAAAAATAAAATTCAAGTCCAATTAACAGTGAAGACAGTGATCGTGATCTGTCCACAAGGCAGAATATCTCAGTTACCATGGGGGATGGTCTTTCAAAAACAACAGTAGAATCAAAACATGTTATATCATAATGATATGGTAATGCCATTTATAAGTGTGTGTGTGTGTGTGTGTGTGTGTGTGTGTGTGTGTGTGTGTGAGAGAGAGAGAGAGATTGAGAGAGAATGCTATGTACATCACTGAATTCCCATTGTTTCATTCTCATAGCACTTATTTCTCTTTACTTTCTAGTACATTTTCTCTCTGCTACTAGACTATAAGATGCTTTACAGTGGGGGCCAAATTGAACACTTTTGTACACGTAGCAAAGTGCCTGGAATACAGTAGGCATTCAGTAATATGGGCATTCATGTGTAAAATTTCATAGACCTACACTCAACTACCTCCTCCCAAGTACCAAAGCAAATCATGGTGAGAACCTTTGAACTTCATTAACCAGCCAACCTCACATACTAAAGAATAAAAATATGATCAATATAGGCTACTCTGATAATGGCAATGCACAGAGATATCCTAGATATAACCTTAATATTATTTGTTAGTGTGTTTAAGTGCATAAATAAATTAAGGTGGTCAAGAATGAATTAGCATTTTTAACTCTAACTAACCAACACCCTGTTATTATCAGGAGCTGATTTCCCTATTATCCTAGCTAACTCTTGCTTCTTGTTTCTGAGATGTATCCTCTGGCCACCTAATTACTTGGTGGCAGTTATATCAGAGTACACCAGAATGGAAATAAGAGGAGAAATAAATTCCAGTCAGCCCTTCTTACTACTTATTAACAGCTTTTATGAGGTGCTCTGGTGAGGTAGTATGATAAAAATGAAGACCAAATTCATTTTGTGGATTATAACAACACATGGCACTTTTCCCTTTTAAAAACTCCTTTACTCGTATTTCATTGTTCAACTGTGAGGTTTATTTATTCATGTTACTGTCAACCTCTGTTACAATAGAGAATGAGCTGAAAGAGTTATTTTCTGGACCTCATTTTTAACATCTACACAGGAGTTACCTTCATTTTCCTTTTAAAATTTTCTATAGTCTTACCTCCCAGTCCAAATAATCACAGACATCTTCAAAGTTAGTGAGCAGAGACACTGAGCAGAAAAGCCGTGGCAGCTCATCCCTTGTCATTGGGGGAAAACGGCTATCTTTAAGGGCACTGTTGAAAACAAAGCAAATATTAAAGCAATCACTGGACATGAAAGTTCCTAATTTCAAATGCAGACAATCATTTGAAAAAGGTAAAAGATTCAAAAAGAGTCAGTAAGGTGTCAAAGGTGCCAATAATCTTCAAATGTATTCAAAGCCCCCAAAGATTTTAGAACTAATCATCTTTTTCATTTAATAGATTGTGTTTAATAGCCAGTCCTGTGACCACTTCAACTGTAAAGTGAAGGATCAGTTGCATTTCCTGTACAGCCATTTCCTGATGTCTTTCTCTGTTACTTGTAGAATATGAGAATGTTTTATTTTACTTTTGAGGAGAACAAAAATCAGACTAGTTGAATGTTGTGGGAAGACTTCTGGATCTAGTGCTGGTGGGAGTTAAAATATATAGTTTTAAAATTTTTTATATATATATACTAATACATATATAAAATCATATTTTTTTAAAAAAAGCTTATACTGGATTGGCTAGTTATCATAGAACAGCACTCAAAGAGTTCAAAGGAAGATCAAAATTTCATTTTCCTCAAGCAAAAAAAAGAAAATCAAAGAAAATGAAAATAATCATGCAAATTATAGATTAAAAATACTCTCACAAAGATTTCAGGCCCCCTATATAAAGGATAATTCAAGATATGACTCAAAAATTGTGAAACTACAGGAAATAGGGCTAATCTAGGAAATAAAAGTATGATTAGGAGACCATTAATCACATCAATGGATCTCTGAGTACATAAACTCTGATTGGATCCTGTAATCAAGTGTAGTATGTCACAGTGCTAAGCTCCAGAAATACCCCGCTATAAAGGACAATATTGTTGGAAGGCCATAATTCTCCTGCAACAGTATAACAGACAGAAAATACACAAAGGCGCGCGCGCACACACACACACACACACACACACACACGCACACACTTTGTGTTCCTTGTACTTTTAAAAGAAACCACTTCCTGATCAAGAAAAACAAACACACCTCTGATTGCCACCACTGGCATTCACACCATCCATTTTCAAATGTCATACATAGCAGCCAGGCTCACAAAATGTTTTCACAGATTAATCCTGAGAGGTTACAAACTTGGACCCTACAAACTGCTTGGGTCATAACAAAGTTCCATGGCCTTTAGAAATCATTTAATTCCTTTTTCAGTGACTTCCTCATTGCTACATTTTCTTTTTTTCAGTTTTGCCCATCCCTTCCTTTGCATTCTGAAACTCACCGTGTTTGTATTTTCAATACATTTTGGTGCTCATTCTATCCTGCTATACGAAGAAAAATGCTTATAGGAAGATATAGAGATGTCATATATTTATAAAGTATAAATGTTTTTCCCATTCAAGGAGCCAAGATTATCCAAGAAAATCAGGAAATCTGTGATAACCCATACTCTGAGAACAGCATTTCACTATTTTATAATTTAACATAAATTTCCTATGGTTTGGCTTCTCTATTTTCCTACTGGCAAATAAAGTTTTAAAAAATACTTTTAAGTTCTCATTCAAAGCCAAGAAAAAGACATATATGTGTGTGTATACGCTCCCCCTCCAAACCACACACACACATATTGGGGAGAAGTTGTAAAACACAGACCAGAAGAATCTCATGCATAAAAAACAAAAAGCCAACAACATGTTCAGTTTTCCTGTTAAAAAGGAGAAAAAGAAAGGAAAATAAGCCTTATAACTTAGAATAATACAAAATGTCATTTTTTAGGGTTATAGATTTTTATTATATGGTAAAACTTGCATAACATAAAATTACCTAATTTTACCATTTTTAAGTTTACAGATCTGTAGGATTAAGTACACTCACATTGTCGTGCAACACCCTCACCACCACCCATCAGCAGAACTTTTTTATCTTCCGCAACTGAAACTCTGTACCCATTAAATACTAACTTCCCATTCCCCCCTCCCCAGCCCAGAACAGAAAATATAATTTAAAAATACTTTTAAAATTTCAAATAGTTATGGTAATACAGTCGCTGATGTTTTCTATATATATAACAGTTTTATTCACATATAATTCACGTACCACAAAATTTACCTTTTTAAAGTATACAATTCAATGGTTTTTAGTTTATTCACAGAGTTGTGCAACCATCACCACTACTCAATATTAGAACATTTTCATTGTTCCGCAAAGAAACCCGGTACCCATTAGCAGTCACTGCACATTCCTCCCACCCCGCAGCTCCTGTCAACCACTAATCTACTTTCTGTTTCTATAGATTTGCCTATTATGAAACATTTCATATAAGTAGAATCATACAATATATTGCCTTTTGTGTCTGGCTTCTTTCTCTTAGCATGTTTTTGAGGTTTCATTCGTATTGTAGCATGTATCAGCACTTCATCCTTTCTATTGCCTAATAATACTCCATTGCATGGCTATACCACATTTTGTTATCCATTCATGGGTTGATGGACATTTGGGCTGTTTCTACTTTTGGGCTATTTTGAATAACACTATGAACATTCACATACAAGTTTTAGTGTGGGATCTTCAAGAGGTTCATGAAAAGACTGTGCTACCTTTTAATTCTTTCCATGAACTTTATGAAGTGCCTGCATATGTTTTCATTTCTCTTGGGTATATAGCTAGGAGTGGAAATTCTGGGACATAAAGGTAATTCTATCTTTAACTTTTTGAGGAACCAACAAGCTTTTCCACAACAGCCGCACGATTCTACATTCTCACCAGCAATGTATGAGGGTTACAATTTCTCCATATCCTCACCTATGCTTGTTTTGTCTGCCCTTTGGATTATAATGCTAGGCCTTCTTTAATGAAGAGCTTTTTGTATCTAGCTCTAGCTTTTTCATTAAAACAATACACATTCTGAAGTTATCATACAGCTAATTTTTCAACACTTTGACACAAATTATTTTGTTTACTTTATTTCCTAGCAAACCAAGGAAAGGTAAATTTTAGCTCAGTGCAATTCAAACCATTTTAAATCAATGAAATTTTCAAGTACCTAAAATGTAACTGAGGATCAGGCTAATAAGTTTTTCTTGTGATATGGAGCCTTGCTGCTCAATCATTCTAGCCTTTTTTTTCTTTTTTTCTTTTTTTTATGATATTATCTATTCAAACCTTTTTTTATTTTACTGATAAAACCCAGGAATTTAAACTACCTTGCTTTGTGTATTAGTCCATTTCTGTTGCTTATTAACAAAATGCATGGAACTGAGTATTTAAAAAGGCAATGAAATTTATTGCTTACAGTTTCTGGGGCTGGGAAGTCCAATGTCCATCTGTTGCTGGCAACAGTGACCCAGGGGTCTCATATTGCAAGATGGTGGAAGTGGAGAGAGCAGAGACAGAAAGAGAGAGAGAAAGACAGACTCTCCTTTTAAAGTCCTCAGAAGTACCCTTTAATCCATTCACTACTACACGGTCCTACAATCCAATCACCTCTTCAAAGATCCACCTTTCAATTACCATGATAGGATTTGCTACCCTCTTAATAGTCACAGTGGGGGCTAAATTTCTAATACATAAAACTTGGGGAACACAATTCAAGCTTCAATGGATTTTCGGGGGACATAATTCAATCCACCACACCATGCCATAGAAACCAGCAAAGCAGACAAACACAACAACCAAGAATGCTGGGGAAATTATGAAGTAACTACTGAGTTGTCTTTATTTTCTTGGACACTAGTACAACTTGTGAAGACTTAGCAAGGCCCAGTTTCCTGGGAAGTAAAAAAAATTGCATTTGACATTTTGATTATAAAGTATCTTATGAGGTATAATGCAAATGGCTCTTCGCTGTGGGTCCTGACCTTGACTCTATTTTTCTCAAATATAAAAATTATTGGCTAGTGTGGAAGATGCCAGTTCCTCCATCCTGATAAAATGAGACTCCTGATTTTTGTAAGATAATGAAAGAGTATGCTATTCTATATCAGTTTAAAAATAGTTTAAGAAAAAAAAAAAAAGAAAAGAATGTTTAGAACAAGGAATAAGTGATAAAATGCTAGCATGTTTAATGGGAGAAAATGAAAAGATGCCTCACCATACCAAGATTTAAACATATTGACTTCAAAGCTCTGAAATAGTAAAGGTACATTAGTCATGATGGAAACAGTCTGATTTTACAGAAACATTCAAACAGGACTTTTGATTCTTGCATTTTTCATCCAACTCTAAGTAATTTTTCATTAAAATTATGAGCACAGAAAAATTTCAAAGGAAGCCCTCAATGTCTCTAAATGCAAATTCCCAGGGAAACAAACTAGCAATGAAAGCCTAGCAAGGATTTAGGGGATTATAAAAAAATGAAAATGCAGCTGGAGACTGACCTCAGAGCTGCCGGGCTGGTGTGAATGGCTGATAAACAAGAGGATCCAGCTTTCCTCAACCAAGCTTTCTCCAGTATATAGAATATGAGATGTTAAAGCTGAGCCTTTAGAGAGGATACTGCAGTCCAGAGTTGAGCAGCTCCAAGTGACCCAGCTAAGTTAATGACAGAGGTAGGGATCCAACCCAGTTTTTCTGACTCAAGTCCAATTCTTTCTAGTGTCCACACTTTTTTTTTTTTTTTTTTTTTAGTGTCCACACTTTAGTTGTCACCTTTGATTGGATTATTTTTAAAATTTTAAAATTAAATGCTTGCCTTACTTGGCAATTTTGAACTCATATCTGCAGTGCCTCTGCCTAAAGATGACATATAATAGTTCAATAGGATTCATCAGTTGTCAAAGGGTAAATAGAGATAGACTTCCTATCTATTAGAAAAAGGATTTTAAAATATTAACATTGACCATGGGAAGCATTTTACAAAGTAGTGTCTGCCAATTTAAATTCTAGGCAGTCTAAGGACAGGATCTTGTTATAAATTTATATGAAGTTCACTTTGCTCGAATAGGAAGCCATTTTCTAATATTTAAATATTTCTATGAAATGAAACAAAATAAAACACTTATGTACAAAACTAGCTAGCTGCTCCATCACCCATATGATGGATGGGTAAGGCTT